CCTCCTGCTATACCCACCTATATGTAGTACTAGTTGAACACATCTAAGTTCCATTTCATTGAAAAGTAATCGTGTTTTTCACATGGTATCAAAAGGACCGCGGCAACAAGTGCTGCTTGCCGACCGACAATAGCGCCTACATAAGGTGGGAAAGTTCACACTGAGCGCAAATCTTCGTAGGGATCTTTGTAGGTGTCAAGGTGGTTGGAGACTAGAATCTGAACTTCATCCTGGAAGCATCAGCATGCAAAAAAGAAAAGTTTGATCTTTGTCAAAGTTACTTCTTCAAATACCACTGTACACTACTCTTGTAAAACAATAAAAACAAAAGCGAACGACTGTAAACAGCACTACGCAGTAACCTGTCCTGCTTCCGCTGGAAATCTCGGCGCAAAGGTATTTGATGGCAGAGAGGGGCACTTTATTGAGCCTTGGTGTCCCTTCTCCAGGGATGAACTTAGATAATTAGAGAACCGTTACTGGAGCGCTACTTTCAAGTTGTAGCATCGCTTACACTAGCAGCATGTTTCCTAGCTAGTTGACTTGACAGTCACTGACACAAATAGAACTAGTTGTTTTGAGAGAAAGACATAGATGCAGAAAGAGTCGGAAGAGTCGACGCGACGTAGCACTACTGTGTCGAGCCAGTTGGATCCTGATGCAAAGGCTGTGCACGTCACCCTGCCTGCAACGCCTATTTCGGCGTCCTCGCCACGACTGGGAAGTAACACTCCACAACCAGAGTCGACCCTACGAGAGTAGCCCATGGTAATTCTGACCGTCCGCGCTGTAAGTCTGAGCATGGTTAGGGAGAGGTACGAGAAAGGGCTGTGAGTCGCACTTTCCCCTATCAAATACACCAACGTCGAAACTCACCTCTTAATGCTACTGCCTATGCGGCGTTGCTAAAACAAAACAAATAATTCCAAAAATTAGATATCCGCGTGTTTAATGACGCCTAGGCTGATACCAAAGTCAGCGCTAGACCGGCAAGGTCGGCACTTTCAAGCGACTGTTTCATGCGGGTCAGGGTAGCCCCAAAAATCCAAAATCAAAAAATCAAAAATCCAGAAATAGAAGAATTCCTCGAAAGTTGCGGAACAGTGCAAGCCTCATTACCATGTCTGCAAACCTTCACCCAGCATCGTTTCCATGTGCTTTCCCTTCATTGTGGCTCAGGCTCACTACAGCCCAGACCACCGTTTGTCGCAGGTTCGGACGAGCAAGATAAGTCGCAGAGACAGAGCAGTCATAGCAGCTCCCCCTCCCCTCCCACCTCTTTCAAACTGTATAAGCGCCATTTTTGAGTCCATGAAAAGTGGGTGCACAAAACTAGCTCGGTATAATTTTTCCTGCGCGTCTATGGTAAAGAAAATGTGACGCTAATGTACTGTGCAGGCCTAATTCAATAGCGCGACTAACCTAACTTCTATGAGACTAAGGTGCTTCTGTTAGGCTGAGCCGCTAAAAAGGGAGAAGGGTGAACGGTTGATATGGTCCAAGATAGCGGGCAAAGTCAAGAGGCTTGAATAATTCACCAACGGTTTCCTGGGCACTGTTACTTTTCTTAACCAAACACAGCGCTTAGGCATGAAAATCGCAGCACAGGTAGCCGCACTATTTATGGCCCTCCTTTGGTCCCGTTCCTGGATCTTGCGATTTTTTCCCTGCACTCGCCGGGTCGCGACGATAATCTACATTATAAGTAGCGCTGCAAAGCCCACTCTGCATAGCTATACGTAGTCGGAAATTATGTTATATGCCTTGGT